ACGTAACAGCCATCTGTGGTTGCTGCCAGCATACCCCAATCTTGGGCAATGCCAGGGTAGTGCAGTTGGTTAGAATGTGGCATTAACATGTCCATAATCAATTCCTATGTGGTTCAACTGGCTCTGCAGAGAAGAAAAATGTCTTCGGTGTCAACCTGAACTTCTCAGGCCAGCAGTCTAAACAAGCTATGCCCTTAATTATTGAGATTTTGGGATTTTCCAGACATCCCGTATGGGTTTCTATTTTTATTTCATTGTGGTCAGAGAATACATTTTGTATAGAGACTTGTTTTCTAGCCCAGTATGGTCTTTCTTGGTACATGTTCTATGTACACGAATGTGGTATACCTCTTCATTTACTTAAATCTTTCATTTTAGCAATGCTTTGAAGTTTTCAATATAGCTCCTGCACCTCTTTCATTAAATTTTTTCCTAAATATTTATAATGCTATTATAAATAGTATATTTTAAAATTTCATTTCCTAGTTGCTGCTTGCTAATACATAAAATATTGAGTTTTATATACGGATCTTTCATCCTATGAGCTAATTTCAAAGATTAATTCTAGTAGAGTTAAAAAATTTTCTACATGGACAATCTATTCATCTAAAGGCAACTAAAACTTTAAAAAAGACTTTGTATATAGACAACTGTGACTAGACAGCTTTACTCTTCCTTTCTAATATTTACACCTTTTACTTTAATTTTTGCCTACTGCACTATCTACAACCTCTGATGCAAAGTTAAATAGAAGAGTAGGCATTCTCACTTTCTTCCTAATCCTAGCATTGAATATTTCACACTAAGTAGCTATACGTCTTTTGTAGATGTTCTTTATAAAATAAAGTTAGTTTTCTTTTATTTCCAGTTTTGTGGTTGTTTTCATCATGAACTGGCAATAAATGTGTCAAGTGCTCTTTCTGAATTTACTGAAGTGTGACTTTTTCTCCTTTAATAATGTGGTACATTACATTGATTTATTAAATGTTGGGCAAAACTCGCATTCTTGGGAAAAACCCCAATTGGCTACTGTATTTTATTCTTTTTCTATATTGCTGTGTTCAATTTGCTAGTATTTTGCATAGGAATTTTCTTCTATATTCATAAGTGATATTCATCGTGATTTTTTTCCCCACTAATGTCTTTGTCAGGTGTTTCTAGCAGAGCTATGCTGTTATAAAATGAGTTGTATAATATTCTCTCTCCTCCTCGGTTTTCTCAGTTTCTATAAGATTGACATTATGTGTTCTTTAAATGTTGATAGAAGTCACCAGTGAAGTCCTGGACTTTTCTTTGTAAAGTGTTTTTTAAATTATAAATTCAAATTCTGTAATAGATGTACAACAACTCAGATTTTCTATTTCTTCTTTAGTCAATTTTGGTAGGTTTTATTTTTCAAAGAATTTGTTCATTTTTTCAAAGTTATCAAATTTTATTGACCTAAATTTAACATTTTCTTTTTATAGTTTTAATTAGAATCTTTCAACCTCAGAAAACTGCTGTGGGGGACTGTGTGCACTGTAGAATAGCAGCATCCTGTCCTCTTCCCACTAGATGCTGATAGCAGCCTCCCCAATCCTTAGACATTGCCAAATGTTCCTTGGGGACATAACGCCTCTGGATGAGAACCACTGTTTTAATGTCTGTAGAATCTTTAGTGATCTCTCATTCCAGATACTGGTACTTTGTCTCTTTATTTTTAAATTAGTTTTGTTAAGACCTTTGTAGGGTAAACAAAAGCAGGGTATGCCTCCGATGTGGCCCATGGATCATTTTGCTGACTTTGACTTAGATCATTGATTAACTCTTCTTTTCTTTTTAAAAAAATATATATTTTTGATTTCAGAGAGGAAGGAAGAGGCAGAGAGATAGAAATGTCAATGATGAGAAAGAATCATTAATTGGCTGCCTCCTGCATGCCCCACACTGGGGATTGAATCCACAACCCATGCATGTGCCCTAACTGGGAATTGAACCATGACCTCCAGGTTCTTAGGTCTACGCTCAACCACTGAGCCATGCCAGCCTGGCAACTCTTCTTTTCTAATAAAGGAATGAAAAAGCTATAAATTCTCCTCTAAGAATACGTTATCTGTTGTGGTGAGCCGGCACGGCCATGGCATACTCAGCCCCAGGGCGCCTTATGTGCCGTGCCAGCTCAGCCCGGTTCAGTGACCCTGAGTGGGGGTGGTGAAAGGCTTAGAAAAGACAGACAAGAGAATGAAGGCCGGGTCTCGGTGGGACGCTGCTCCCGGATGGAGAGACAGCACCAGCTCCCACAAGCCGTGTCTTTATTTTATAGCAGATGCCACGAGGCAAAGTCAGGGCGTGATCGAGATGTTTACAACATTCTTGTGGGTTTCACTCCTACTCAACTACATGCACCTGAACTCTATCAAGCCCACATCACTCAGGCACGTGGGGCCACATGTTAGGACCATAGGTTCAAGCTTACAACTACAGCTGTTGGCTAGAATTGTGCTGGGAGGGCTCTGCCCTCCAAGCTGGGACTTGCACGTGACAATGAGAGGACTGTGCCCTCTCATCAGTCCACGGCTTGAGCCTGTCCGAAACACTGTAGCCGCACCCCACAATTTGTATCCCATAAATTTTGAAATGTTGTGTGTTAATGGATATTAACCAATGAATGGCTCTCTAAAGAGTATTGTTTATCTATGGAGATAACAAATGAGCATTTTTTTCATAACAAACAGAATTGCTTACAAATGGATTTTTGGTTCTGTGAGACGCAAGCAATGAAGAACAATATTAATATAACTATGTAATAAAATGTAGTCACATAAATTCACTCTCCCAACTAGTTGATAAATTGGTATACATTCCTACAGCCTGGCAGCAATATTCTTTTTTCTCTTCTAGCTAAGAAAAGTCACAATTTATCACCTGCAGAACATTTACCAGGACACAAAAATTACAAGTTCACTGCACCTTATGGAGTACTGGTTTGCTGCCACCTGCTGGGAGGCAGAAATGGGTTTCTAGCCTCCTTAAAGGGCAAGAATGATGACCTTAGGAGTTGTAAAACTTTGCCCATCCCATGAAACAAAACAGGTACCTTTGGGCCTGGAAGAAGTCAATATTAAATATGTGTTGATTGTTTATGTTACCAGGAAGGCTTCTGGTCAGCAGGGGGCTATTAGTAGTTAGGTTTTGGGGGAGTCAAAAGTTACACTGGGATTTTTGACTGTGCAGGGGCCTTGTTCAAGGGCCAACTGTATTATTCATGCAGAACCACAATTAAAATAGCACCATATTTTCTCTATACATACTTTTTTTTGACAATCTGAAAGCAGCCTGCAAGTATCATGACTTCACCCCTGAACACTTGAGCATACATCTCCTAAGAACAAAAGCTAATAGCCACAATATCATCATCATATCTGAGAAATGTAAGTCATCAATATATCTATTATGCTTTTATGTTCAAATTTTCCCAATTGTCCGTAGATTGTCCTGCAAAATTCGTAATCCTATACAGTTCACAGTTGGCTTAATGGAGATGAGTGCTATCTTTTTGTGTTGTCTTCCATGATATTGACATTATTGGAAAGTCCACACAAATCACATTCTAAATTTATCTGAGTGCCCTGGCCTGTGCGGCTCATTTGGTTGGGCGTGGTCCAGCACACCCAAAAGGCTGCTGGTTTTATTCCCAGTCAAGGGCTTGATCCCCAGTGGGGGATGTGCAAACTGATGTTTTGCTCCACACTGTTTTTCTCTTTTTCCTTTCCTCTCTTTCTAAACTCAATTTTAAAAATCTTTTAAATAAATTATCTGAGTGTTTCCTTACAGACTAAATGTTTTTGGCAAGAATGCTACATAGGTCTACTTCCAATAACCTCACAGCAACAGGTTTGTGTTTTTCCCATTATTGATGCTAGAAAATTTTCCCGAGACACTTATTAACATTTTGCAAAAGACTACTGTTCTGTGGAACATAGTTTAGGGAACACCTGTACAAGAAAAAAAGGTGAAATGCACTGAAATGTTTAAGAGTTTGTAGACTAAAAAGCAAGTAACGATTAAAAATCAAACTGAGCTTTCACAAAATTTAACTTACAACACACACACACACACAGTGAACAACCCAATTGTACAGAAAAGCAATCCCAACTTAAGGAAATTAACTAACTTCTCCCAAATTCTATCCTTATTGTATTTCCTGTGTTCAGGAGCTGAGATTTGAAAGCAGGTCTGATTGCTTCCATGTTCTTTCCACTAGACCCTCTGCTTCATTTGGACTTGTCTAATTTTTTACAATCGACTATTTTTTAAAATGTTTTTATTGATTTTTAAAGAGAGGGCATACTCCCCAAGTGGGGAGGAGCCCACAATTGGGCATGTGGCCTGATGGGAATCCAACCAGTGACCTCTTAGTTCATGGGTCCACACCCAACCACTGAGCCACACCGGGCACAATGGACTATTCTTGGCTCTACTATTACTCTGGGGTAAAAGTGGTGGTCTTTTTTTAAAATATATTTTATTGATTTTTTACAGAGAGGAAGGGAGAGGGATAGAGAGTCAGAAACATCCATAAGAGAGAAACATCGATTCAGCTGCCTCCTGCACACTCCCCACTGGGGATGTGCCCACAACCAAGGTACATGCCCTTGACCGGAATCGAACCTGGGACCCTTCAGTCTGCAAGCCAACGCTCTATCCACTGAGCCAAACCGTGGTGGTCTTTTAATCGAAATAATAATGAAGACACTAAGAAACCGTTTTATTGTTCTATATTCAATAAGAATCAACCTATGTCAAGTAGCTGACAAAGGCCTACTCCTCACAAATGTATGCAACTATGCAAATCGTATGTGAAGACTGGGGTCTCGGTTGCAGATACTAATTATAACAGAGCCCTCGCTTATGACCTGTTCTATCGGCCATGACTTGATCCTTGCTATTGCCCACCGATGCCGTCATGGTTACATCACACCAAACATTCTGGAGACATCAGTTTTCCTTAAAAATCCCAGAACTCAGGTTTTACGACTTATTACGTAATCGAATAGGTTTTCAAAATATTCGTTATCATTCTGCCCCCCGCCGGGAGGTAGCAAATATTTAAGTATGTTCGTTTTCATCTCCATTTCGGGCGAGAGCCTTTCCCCAAAGATGACTTTCCGAAGGAGGTGAGCGCGGGTCCTTGCTTTTGGTGCAAGTTCAGAAATTTAATCTATACGAATGGGTGACTTTTAAAAGAAACAACGGAGAGGACTTCAACCTTTAGAAACCACGCCAGGGTTAAAAATTTTGCGTTATATTTCGGCGGCACGCTGAGTATTTTTTGCAGTAGGCTGGAAATTGCTTTGCGGAGTCTGTCTCCTTAATCTCATCAGCTTGTCCAACGCCCCATGTCTCTCCCTCGACCCCAGACTTTCAGATTTTGGGAGCGGAAGGAGGTCTGCGGGCGCGGAGCCCGGGCTGGACTCCGGCTCGGTCTCCGCGGATCGCGAAGCGCCACGGCCCGGAGGGGGTGAACGTGTCGACACCCTCGAACCCGCAGGAGAGAGACCCAATCTGCACT